TCGGTGATCGACGATTGGAGGTTCTTGCTATTGTCGGCCTCCGGGGGGCCATCGCTGGGCCCTGGGGCCGTTTAGAAATCATCCAGGATGGAGACCTGGCGCCTTGGGGAATGGGTCGAGATTTTCGGGTTCACGTTGGGCATAAATCGCGACGCTGGGGGGTCTGGGGGGAATGCGCCAAAATTTTCTGATACTTCAGTCGCGGCGGTTTTCCAGCCTCGGAGTGCGTTCCAGCGGCTGCGCATCGCCTCGAGAGCTCTGGGGATGCCAGATCGTCCCGAACGGCCGATGGAGAGCTGAGATATGACCCAGTAGTTGCCAGAGCGATATTCAGAGGGACAGGCTTAGTGGGGACGCATCGACTCCCACTCGCCCACTGATCGCCGATACAGGGACTGATTGATCGCACCGCCCAGGAACGTGCGGATTCGCTACGGGAGGGGAATCGGGTATCAGTGATACGCCGCTGTTGGGAGTTCGTCGGCGTGTCATTCTTTCGTTTTGTCCGAGGGCCGGGCGTTCAAGAGGAGCACGCCGATGGTTTCTCCACGGCTGGATGAGCATCGATATGGTGTGTGTTCCTCCCAGATACTCGTCCATCAAGGGACAGGGGAGGATGTGGGAAAAGGGGATGCTGCGAAATCTGCTGCCTGCAGCAGGGTTCTGCTCCCGCCGCGTGGCCGCTTGCTCGATGCTGTGCCGCCTCTGGCGCAGGGAGGCGCCCCTGCATGCAGCTGATTCGCGAACCTTTCCCTTCCTTGCGATCCCCTCCCCCCTCGTCTACCTCGACCCTCCTTCTTTGCGATCCCCCTCTCCGTTTCGATCCCCCGCCTCATTTGCGATCCCCCCTTCTATCGACCTCCAGCGTCCACCAGCTCAGAGCTGAGCACCCCGACCTCGGCACATCAGGACGACATGCATTGAGGGCCCTGGCCCCCCCGCGCAGGCCCTGACAGGGCCCCGCCCCCGGCGGAACCGCGAGCTCGCCTTGCCTCGCCTCGCCTCGCCAGCTCTCGTCCGTCCCGGCCCTGCAGCGGAGGCCCATGCCAAGACCACCTTGCTTGCCTATAGGGTGCCCTGGGGTTCTTGGGTTTCCATGGTTTTGCTATGGAAAGCGTGACGTTCCTTGGGTCTCCGGACTGGTTCCACGTTCTTGGTCTTCCTATGGAACGCGTGACGTTCTACGTTCCTTGTACCAACCCCAAAAATCAGTGGACGTCCTGGGGTCTCAGAATTGGGCTTCTCGTGTAAGGTTTCTTGTGTTCGGGCTCCTACTGTATTTGATCGAGGCACAAACAGTTCCATGAACATGGACTGTCGGAGGGCCCTGCAGATTACTCGGGTCTGCGCTGGAGCGCGCCCCCCGGCGGCGCCTCTCCTGGCACGGCCCCTGGCGCGGGGGGGTCCAGAGCCGATGCAAGAAAGCCAGGCGTTAGGTGTTGTTCTTTCTTCTTTTTTGCCCTCGACTGAAGGTCTTCCAAGGATGTCACTGGCTTTCGATGGTTTTTTAGATCTTCGGAGTCTCTCGGGGGTCATCGTCGTTCACTCTCCTCGTCCGCCCTGCTCATGCCCGTAATCCTGCAACTCCTGACCCTTCCTCGCCGTCGTCGTCGTCGCCGTCGCCGTCGCCGTCGTCGTCGTCACCCCTTCCTCGTCTTCGAGGTTCGAGGAGGAGCAGCGTCAGAGTTTAACGCTGAACGACCTTCCGTGCTCGGGAGACTTGCGGCCAGTCAGGAATTTTGTAGTGTCTGTACCCTCCCTTCCCTCATCTCGTCTCCCACTATCATCGCTGCTGGCCTTTACTCTTTGCTCCTCTTCGTCCTCTAGGCGTGCTGGAGGAGCGCTGGAGTTGAACGCTGCGCGGCCCCCCTTGCTCAGAAGGGCTCAGTTGCGCTAATGCAGCTATGGATGCTGATGTAGCATCCGAGTCAGCAGGCGCCGGAAGCGATGATCTCTTCTTGAACACATGATGGCTATTCCGCGTCCGGTCAGCCCGTTCCGTGTCGCACTTCGGGCATCGCATTTAGTTGGTCCTTTTTCCCTCTTTCCCCGCTCCTCTCCTCCCCCGAGGTTGCAACTCTTGGGAACATTGATTCAGCATCCTCGCTTGTATATTACATGTTGTTTGTTTCATTGTATCCCGCGGGCGGGCTTGATCGTGGGCTGCATCTGGCCTAATCCGGATTAGTGGCCCTTCTATCAGGCCCAATGGTCTTCTATTCTTCCCACGAAGACCTCGCAGGAATTGCCTCCTGAATACCCCTCCTGTCCTCTCCCCTCCCTCCTCCCTCCCTCCTCCCTGGTCGGCAAGGAGGTGGGGTTTCTGGTGTAATGGGGGGGGGGATTTGCTCCTCCTCTCGCCATGGCGCTGCGGGGCGACGCGTTCCGTTGGCCCTGTCGCCGAGGCACCTTTGTGCTGCTCTTCGGGCCCTGTCTTGGCGCCCGTGCCGAGTGTCCACTGATGTCCGTTCATGTCCATGCCAGTGTTGTTTTCCGCGGCCAGCGTCCGCCGTGCACTGTCTGAGGCCCAGCTCCGGCTTCGCTTGGCCAGTCGAGTGCCGCTTATGCGCAGAGGTTCTCTCCGACTCGGGCCCGACGAAAGGGGGGATCTTTAGGGGGACACGCCGGACTTGAGGCCAGGCTCCGCGAGGGGGGGCCCTTTTGCCGACCCAGGCCCGGGCCAACCAGAGAGGCCGTGCGTCTTCGATGGTCGGCCGAGCGCAGGGGATCGGGCCGGACGAAAGAAGGGGATAGGGAAAGGGGGGTTACGAAGTCTGCTGCATGCAGCTGGTTTCGGCCACAGCGAGGGGCCAATTCCTTGATACGTGGCCGCCTCTTGCGCCGGGAGGCGCCGGGAAAATCAGCTACGCGTGAGCTAATGCTCACCCCCCCCCTTGCTATCCCCCCTTTCGCCCAGCCCGATTCTCGATGTTTTCCCACCCGATGTTATCCTCGTCCTGGCGTCGTCTTATCAGTGGGTCCCCGACCCAAGAGGGGATGATGATGATGATGATGATGATGATGATGATGATGATGATGATGATGCTGATGATGATGATGAGGATGCTGCTGATGATGATGATGATGATGATGCTGATGATGATGCTGATGCTGCTGCTGATGCTGATGCTGATGCTGATGCTGCTGCTGATGATGCTGATGATGATGCTGCATATGATGATGATGATGATAATGATGATGATGATGATGATGATGATGATGATGATGATGATGATGATTCTGATGATGATTATGATGATGATGCTGATGCTGATGATGATGCTGACGATGATGTTGATGATGATGATGATGATGGTGATGGTGATGGTGGTGATGATGATGATGATGATGATGATGATGATGATGATGATGATGATGATGATGCTGATGCTGATGCTGATGCTGATGCTGCTGCTGCTGCCGATGATGATGATGATGATGATGATGATGATGATGATGATGATGCTGATGATGATGGTGATGATGATGCTGATGATGATGATGATGATGATGATGATGATGATGATGAGGACGAGGAGGAGGAGGAGGAGGAGGAGAAGAAGAGAAGAAGATGGAGGAGGATGAGGAGGAGGAGCATGAGGATCGAGGAGGAGGAGGAGCAGGATCGATGATCGAGGTTCGAATTTATCCTTGTCCCGGCTTCGTCGCAGCGAGCCGCCCCCTCCCCCCGCCCCGTCGCAGCTGCACCGCGTCGCCCTGGAGCAGGCCCCGTGGCCGTCCTGGGAGTTCCAGCAGGACCGCGCCCCGCCCCCTCCAGCTCGGCCCTCCGCGCACGGGGGCGCGTCAGAGGAGCAGGGGGAGGTCCAATGAAGAAACAAACTGCATAAGCATACAGTCGGGGCGCTGAAGAAGGAACCTGAGCCCCTCGGCCGTCTTCTCATCCGCGGCGCGAGTATACGCCGGCGCATTGTCCACAGCAGGCCTCGTTTCCCGCGGATGCGTCTCCTCGGCGTTTCCTCGGCAACTCTGGCCCTCTTGGCGGGAGGTCTCATCACGCTCTCCCACGAGGCCTCGGCCTCTTCCTGCTGGCTCGGGTCAACCCCTGTGGTGTCCATGTGCAGTCGGGGCGCTGAAGAAGGAACCCTTCTCGTTGGCGAGAGGTTCGGTGTTCCTGGATTGTTTTGCAGTTTGCCTTGGGTTTCCGTTGGGCATCGAAGTTTAGCCTATGGGAAAAAGGGGCCTCGTTCCTTAGTTAGGGTTCCTTGTGTCAACGCCCCGACTGTAAGCTTTCGGCGCTCTGCGCGGATTTCTTGGATCTGCGCTGGGGCCCCCCTGGCGGCGCCTCCAGCGCCGCCCCTGGCGCGCTCCGCGCGCCAGAGAGGGGGGTCCAGCGCAGATCCAAGAAATCCGCGCGGACCGTCAAAAGTTTATGTTTATGCCGTTCCTTCTTCCTCTAGCGGTGCCTCCCCAGGCCCCCTCGCGTCGTGGCGGAAACACGACTGACGCTTTTTATACATTGCGAAGGCCTCAAGGCTTGTGCCGCCGACCTGGAAGGCGGGACCTCCCCCGGGACCCCTGCTGGCGACCCCCCAGGACGCGCCAGGGGGCGGTTTTCTGAACCGGGTGCCCCCCCATCCCCCACCCACCCCAACCATCCGAATGATGGGAGGGGGACCCGACTTTGCTACGACGTTCCTTTCCTTTGCTCTTCAGTTTCCGAGGGACTGACGAAGAGGAGAACGAAGAGGAGGACGACGACCTCGACGACGACGACGACGACGACGACCTCAATGACGACCTCAACCTGGAGGGTCGGCGTATTTTCGTATTTTCGGCCTCTGGGGGTCGTCGCAAAGCGACTCGGGATGAAGATCCTTTCCCCAGGACTGGGTCCAGACCCTTGTGTTTGACGTTAGGATTAAGACACGGGGTCGGGTGTCTGGGGAGGTAGGTACTTCCGTCGTCTTCGCCGTGTTCGTCCTTCCCCTTTTTTCGCATCGCTCGGACTTGTGCTGTTTTCGGCGAGGACCATCGACAAGCATTTCTGATCATCTTTCGAGCGGACAAACATCAAAATCGAGGTATGCACGGGGAGTGGATGTCCGAGCGATGGCAAGGTTCTCTCTCTGCCGCCCAGCTTCTACTCTCACAGGCCGCCCCGAATAGCCTTCCATCGCGGCAAACCGCTCCAGCTTCGGCGATACAGACCGACGGGGCCGTATACACCGATGTGTAAAGATCTCGTCGCCTTAGAGTGCAGCCCTGAGGGCGCATGACATCTCTCTGCGACGAATTGCGAACCCCACCCCCCCCGGGTCCGATCGGCGCAGGGGTATCGAACACCCCCGCTGGGGATCGCTCATGTCCTTCGAATTCCGAATCCCAGCCGGTCTCCAGAGATCTGACCTACGGGGGTAGGGTCCACATGTGGTTTCCCAGCCTGCCTGGGCTGGGCCCAGCCAGGGGCGGTGGGTGCGTATTGATCCCGCCGCCCTGGAAGGGGGGGGGGCAGCAGGGGGCAGACCTGAGGGTCCAACTTCTGGGAGCCGCGGTCGGAAACCGGCATACTGATGTTTAATGTTGCTCAATCCCGCTTGCTCTCGATGAGTCCCGCTTTTGTGGGCGGGCCGGCCTAGCAAGCATTGAGCCCCCAAGCAAACATGGTTTCTTAGGTGAAAAAACAGGTGGAGCTTTGTTGGTGCCTTGGTTGTTTTTTCCCGCGTGCAAGTTGGGTCGCAAAAAGTGTATCGGACAAAAGGTTCGCACGCGCAATAATGTGTCGCCTCGTGCATCCGAGCCACTTGCATCTACCATCTGTAATCAAACACTAAATGGAGGCACTCAACAACATGAGGACTAACACGAGGACGAGAGGGGAATGGGGGGGCAATGGATGAGACGGAAGGATTTGAAGTTGAAGGGAGATGCGGTTGAAGTAGGAGACCGAGCAATCTCATGGCGAGGACAGTCCGAATGATGGCTGGGTGAGCTGTCCGCTGGGTTGAGTCTGACCCTCATGGAGTCTTTCCAGACAACCGCGAGTCGCCGACTGGGGGGCGCGGCCTGTCCGATTTGGTGGGTATGCTGATAGGTGGGTAATTACTCAGGTGATGCGCGAAGCAAACAATGCGCAAAGCAAACCCTGAAGAGCAGTGCAAGGCAATGCCAAGCAACACCAATCAATTTGATTCCATGCCCATGCCAAGCAATCCCAATCATTGTAACGCAGTTGTTGACGCTTCGCGTATCCCGACCAGCCCATTCAGAAACGATGCCCAGGGGAGTTGGGGTGATCAGGGAAGTGGGGGAGCATGCAGAAGAACAGAGGGCGGGACAGCCGTCCGATACCTCAAGAGGGGGAGGATGATGGATGAGAAGGAGGAGTAGAAGGAGGAGGAGTGCGAAGAAGAGGATGGAGGAAGAGACAGTGGACGAGGAGGGGGAGGAGGAGGAGGAGGAGGAGGAGGAGGAGGAGGAGGAGGAGGAGGAGGAGGAGGAGGAGGAGGAGGGGCATCTTGGGCGCCTCTTGAGGCCGTCTGGGCGCCTCCTGGGGCCATCTTGAGGCGCTCTTGGGAGCTATCGGAGCGCTCTTGAGACCATTTTGGAGGAGATCGATTAAAGAAGAGGGGATCCCTAATTGCCCCCCCCCCCCCCCCCCGGGGAGCCCCAAAAGTCGCCGCCTCTTGGGGCGCTCTTGGGGTGCTCTTGGAGCGCTCTTGGAGCGCTCTTGGGGCCGTCTTGGGGCTCTCTTGGGTCTCTCCTGGACCCTCGTCGGCCATCTTGGAGCCATCTTGAGGCCTCCGATGGCGATCGGAAGCGAAAAGGCGAGACGGCAACACATGTTGTTTTTCCTTGGAGGCCTTCTTGGAGGTCTCGGAGGCCTCATGGAGCCGTCTTGGAGCGATCTTGGGGCCTCTTGGAGCATCTTGTGAGCCGGCTTGAGGCATCGTGAGCTATTTTGTTCCACCTAGGAGATCATCTTGGGCTCTCTGAGGCCCTCTTGGAGCCATCTTGGGTGAAACAGTACCCTCTGACATCTCGCGGGGCGGCCCGTCCATGTTCAGGGGAGGGGGTAGGGGGGTAAGCCCCTTCCTGAAGAGGAAAAAGGGGGTTGGAAGATTAAACTCCCTAGACCATCTACGCCCAGAGAGCTGGTGGGATTCAAAGCACTGCCACGAACTGCTAAGGAATGCCAAGCAAGGCAACGCAATGCAGCAAAGCAATGCAACATATCGAAAACCAATGCAGAACAATGCAAACAATGCACACATGCAACTCAATGGACGACAACGCAAAGTAATGGCTGCTGGATGCTGTCTGAAAGGGATCCGAGGGCACCCGAGCTGGACGAATCCCCGCATCAGACGCCACACCACGGCGCCGCACAAAGCAACTGCGGAGGAGGGGGAGGAGGAGGAGGAGGAGGAGGAGGAGGAGGAGGAGGAGGAGGAGGAGAAGGGGGCAAGGAGGAGGAGGAGGCTTGAAGAATCGGAGCCCGATCTTGCTTAGTGGCCCCTTCATCGGGCTTGGGCGCCCCGGGTCGTTCTGATGATGTGAAGCAGTGGCAAAGCGTCCTGGCTCGCTTGCAGGCCCACCACGGAGTGCTCTAATAATTCATGTTTTTGTGGTCTGCACGAGATGTTGTGGTGTGCACGAGATGTTCTTTGACACACATCGGGTTCCTGTTCCAAGGACACTGCTTTTGTTCTTAGAGGGTTCCAAGATCTTTGTGTGGTAGGCCCATAGCTTATGGGAATGGCGGGACGGTCGGTCCCAGCTCAATGATGGCCGCTTCCGAAGGAGTTGTTTGCCTCCTAGCATCACGCCTCGGCAAAGTCTGGGCGATTGCTGGTGGCCACGAACGGCAGACGGACGTGTTCAGCACACCAACTCCCGCCGGCCCGCCACGGGTTTGAGTACTCTTCAGGGTCCATGTGGATCCGATCGTCCCGATGCGGTATCGATTTCGGGAAGCCTGGTCCGATCCAATTCTGATGTTCCGAGGATCCCATGCGGGCCGATGCTCACATTGCGTCGTTGTGCATCCCGGCGCGGCCGATCCGATTCAGTTCCAATTCTGTGTCCATGCAGCCCGATCCGACGCACGCTTTCATTTGACCGGATGACCCGACATCACAGCTTGGGGAGCCATCTCCCTTCAATTTGGCGCCCACTCGCCTGTGGCGGGTTCCATGGGACCCTGTACTCTCCCTTCTCTTCCCTCCAGACGCATCTTGATGCCTCTCGGAGCCTCCCGAGAATTTCCAGGGGGAAGTTGGGGGCAGCACGCGTCCGGCGGAGGCCCCCGAACAAGGGCCAGCGTCTTCCAAGAGCGTCGAGAAGCCTCGTCCCTCTCGCCTGCCTGCGACACTCGTCAGAGGAGAACATTGACCACCGCCACCGAGATCCCACCGATGGATTCTCTGTGGTGGTGGCCCTTGCTTCTTCTCTAAATCCTTTCGTCGCGCTAGGACGGGGACTTTTTTCTGTTCATGAACCACAGCTTCCTGGGGAGCATGCGGGAGGAGTTCGAGGTCGGGGGTGCCGAGTGCGCCCGAAGCCCCGCCTCGCTCGGGACATCCTGGCGGGGGGGAGGACGTCGTCGTCGTCGTCCTCCTCCTCCTCCTCCTCCTCCTCCTCCTCCTCCCTCCCTCATCTTCCTCCATCTCTCCCCTCCGTTCCCCTCCCACTGTTACAGATGCATGCTACTATCCTCTCTCTCCTGGCATTATCCGGAAGATATTCGGTCCACTCAGCGGATTTTTATCAGTGGATGTCGGAAGATGATATCTCGTCAAGTGTTTGTTTTACAATCCGACTGGTTTCGGTCCTTCGAACTGGTGCTTGCGCTGTAGCGTCGGCCTCATTTTAGAACCGGCTCGCTGCATCCGTCGTGCGGAGTGGCGCTCTCGCCTCAGCGCGGGTTGCTTCCCTGGATCCGACTCCTTCCCTATCGTTGTCGCCACCTCCTTTCCCATCCTCCGCCTTCCCCTGGTCTTCCTGGTCATTCCGCTCCGTGCGTTCCAGTTCCAGATGCTGCTGTTCGTCCCAGACCTCATCCATCCTCCTCCTCCTTCTTCTCCTCCTCCTCCTCCTCCTCATCATCATCATCATCATCATCTTCCTCCTGCTCAACCGCCACCTCCTCACCCTCCTCCTGCGCACGGAGCCTTCCGTCTCGAGCCTGCCGTTTCCGACAGCGCATGGCGCGATGAGGTCTTTGTTTGTGAGTTTCGCGTCTGTTAGGACGCGCGTCCGCGGACGGAGGAAACAGCGGCGCAGCGGGAAGCGAGGGGATGGTGGGGGTGGGACGTCAGATGTGGTGCGAGCGCATCTAGCTTGCCTCCTCCTCCTCCCTCCCTCTCTCCTCCGCCTCGTCTTCCTCCTCTTCCTCCCGAGGAGGGGGCAGGGGAACCCCCTCGAGAGACCTCCCTGCCCGCCGGAAGGGCATCCGCGCCGGAGCTCCCTCGCCGTTCTTGGCGCCTCGAGGCCACCGCGTCTGGCCCCAGGAGCGGCAGCCAGGGTCCCGGAGGAACCTGGGGCCCAGTGTTGCTTTGCTGTCTCGCCGTTCCTCGGTCTCCCGAGGCCCCCCCCTCCTTCCCCTCGTCCTCCTCCTGCTCCTCCTTTTTTTCTTGCGCAGGCTGCTGAGCGATCCAGGCGCTCGTAGCGTCCTCCTCCTCCTCCTCCTCCTCCTCCTCCTCCTTCTCCTCCTCCTCTTCTTCCTCCTCCTCCTCCTCCCCCGTGATCCCTGGGGAGTGAGCTGGACAGCTGGGAAGGATACACATTTTGTACGTCGTAGCGCGGCAGAGTCTGTTCGCATGCGCGTTCAGCAGGCCGGGTGACGGCAACACGATTTTTCCCAGGGAGTGGGAATCAGGCCCAATGGATAGCCCCAGGGCCCAGTAGCCATGTCCATCGGGGGCTCCCAAGAGGATGGTGAGGACAAGGAGTTTGTTTGGATGTCATCCGATAGGAGTGCGGCACATTCAGTACCGCCCACAGAGTCCCGTGGGTCGGTTGCGGGGTTTGAGCCATCGCTGATCGGATTCCGCCCACTGTGTCCAGTGACAGGGTTGCGGGGGCTCGGCCGTCGACGATGGGATCGCGCCTAAAGGATCCCGCCCATGGGGTTCCCTGGCCATGGTTGCAGAGGTTCGACCGTCAACAGCACGGTCTTGCTCCAGGGTTCGGGCATCGTGTCCCGAGGCATGAGCGCGGGAGTCTTCACCGTCCCCGATGGGGGTCATGATGTCTGGTCAACCTGCACACAGCAGGCAACATGCCACCACCCCCGCCGTCCCTGTCAAGCCAATGCAACGTGATCGCGGGGTGCCTGCGCATGATCCAGATTTTGCCGCGAAGTGCAGTTTCTGTTGTCTTCAGTCAATGATGGTGGCCCTGCGCGCAGCAGGTCATACGCTGGCACCCCCGCGGTCCCTGCCAACAAAAAGAACACTAAGTCATCGCCCCTTCCCCCGAACATGATCCAAGATTTGCCACACCGTGCTCTCTGAATTGTTTTTGTCAGGGATGGCGGGAAGGGGGGGCCTCATTGGTCCTCGTGTGTCGCCAATCGGGTGGGGGAGGGGGTGTATGTTCATAAGGAGCAGTGATCTCTGGAGGGGAAGAAGGGGGCTGGAAGAGGACACGTTCTAAACCACAAAATGCCCTAAAGGGCTGATGGGATTAAAAACCGACCAGCGGACAGGGGCCGCACACGCAACGTTTGCTCCCCCAGTGGTACTGATATTCGAAGAAGGAAAAAACGGCATCAACATAAACTGTTGGCGCTCCGTGTGGATTTCTTGGATCCGCGCTGGGCCCCCCCAGCGGCGCCTCCGGCGCCGCCCCTGGCGCGCTCCGCGCGCCAGAGAGGGGGGGGCCCAGCGCGGATCCAAGAACTCCGCGCGGAGCGCCGCGTTCACGCTTGTGCCGCCTTGTTTTTGGGTTGGGACAGCTACCTCGCAAGTCGGAACACCATCGAAGGCCTGTGGCAGCACGTCGCGCCGCGTGTGCTGTGCACATGCCGCAGGGGGCGGGACGCCGCCCTCCCTCCCCCCGCTCCCCCGGGACTGCCGGGATGCCGACTGTGGCCTTCGTGCCAGGTCCTGTGCCTCCGGGTGGGCGTCTGTGCCGATGGGAGCCGATGGGAGCGGGCCCTCGCCCCCCCCCCCCGGGCCCTCCCCTCGGGCCGGACGAAATGGGGGGGGGGTAGGGAAGGGGGGGTGCGGAAAGTGCTGCATGCAGCTGGTTTCGGCCCCGCCGAGGGGCCCATTCCTCGATACATGCGCGCCTCCGGCGCCGGGAGGCGCTGGGAAAATCAGCTACGTGAGCTGATTCTCGAACCCCCCCTTTGCTACCCCCCCTTTCGCCCGGGCCGATCCCCCCCTCCTTCATGGAGTAGAGCTTGGCTGTTTTTGGACGCCTGTTTCGAGCGGGTGGGGTCTCCCCCAGAGGCAGCACTCTTGTAAACAGTCGCACTAAGCAGAGGTCTGGAGCCAGACCCCCCCCTCCCCCCCCCTTTCTGCCCAATGTCGAAACGCCGAGTTTAAAAAGCTCAGCAGCCCAGGGGACTGCTGGGGTCCCACGGCGGTGCTCCTCGGCCATGCCTGCTTATATAACGACCCCTTCGGGTGATAAGGAGGCTTCGTGGGGGGGGACCAACGTCTCACTCGATGGATCTCACTGTCAATCTCGCTATCGATCTCACCATCGATCTAACAGTCGGTCTCACTGTCGATTTCTTATCGATCTCACGATCAATCTCACTATCGATTTAAAGGGACACCACACGACACCGCGGAACACCGCGGGACACCACGAGACACCACGGGACACCATCGGGACCCCACGGCTGGACACCACAGGACACCGCGGAACACCATGGGACACCACGACACAACACGGGACACCATGGGACACCATCGGGACACCACGGTGGGACACCGCGGGACACCGCGGGACACCATGGGACACCATGGGAAACGTTGGGACACCATTGGGACACCAAGGCGGGCCACTGCGGGACACCATCTAGATACCACCAGGACACCATGGGACACAAATCGAGACACCGCCGGACACCACTGGACACCACTTGACACCATCGGCCCCGTGACGGCCACCGCCCGTCACGCGGCCGGGATGGGGCGGACTGCTGTCCTCCCCGCGCCCTAGCCAGAGGAGGGTTCAGTCTTCGCTTCGCCTGCACGGACGACATGACACCGAAACTGATTTCCTGGTGGGGGGCTCTCCGTTTAACCTCCGACTGTGTCTGGCACTGATATGGCTGAAGCGCTTCCAGTGCATGTGTCAGGGGACGTAGCCAGGGTGCGACGCCCAGCCCGACGCCCTACTCACGCCCTACCCGACGCCCTATCCGACGCCCAGCCCGACTCCCCACCCGACGCCCTACCCGACGCCCTACCCGACGCCCAGCCCGACGCCCAGCCCGACGCCCTGCCCGACTGCCAGCCTGACGCCCCACCCGACGCCCCATCGGGCCCCTGTCTCGACTTTCTGCAGGAGTGCTGCTACTCCGACCTCTTCCTCCTCCACCTCCCCCTCTAACTGCGCCACGAGGTGGAGCTGGTATGGTAGGATGTTTCTTCTCCTCCTCCCAGGAGGGGGAGGAGCAGCAGGAGGAGGGTGCGGAGGAGGAAACGCCCTCAACCATGCCTGGAGGGCCAGGCTGGTGGGATTCTGCGAGGTGGAGCGGCCGTTTCAGGACGCTTCTCCTCCTCCTCCTCCTCCTCCTCCTCCTCCTCCTCCTCCTCCTATTGCTCCTGCTCCTTCTCCTCCTCCTCCTCCGCCCCCTCCTCCTCCGCCCCCTCCGCCCCCTCCTCCTCTCCCTCCGCCCCCTCCTCCTCCGCTCCCTCCTCCTCCTCCTCCTCCTCCTCCTCCTCCTCTTCCTCCTCCTATTGCCCCTCGCTCCTTCTCCTCCTCGCAGGAGGCGGGGCGGGAGGAGGAGGATTCTGCGGAGGAAGGCCCGCCCGCAGGTATGAGGCCGTGGACCTCCGCCGCCAGCTCCTGCGGTGCCGGGCCTTCTGGGAGGACGGCGCGCCTCCGCGCGCCTCCCCCGCCGGCAGGGCCCGCAGAAAAAGCGACGACCAAGCATCAGCACATACACACACAACGAGTTTTTTTACAAACACGTTTTTTCTTAAAACAGATAAACCACATTTTTATTTCTACGGATGTGTACATACACAGACATATATATACATACAGCTATGCCCCCCGACCTTCCCCCCCTATGACGTAACGCTCCCCCCCTCAGTGCGTTCCCGGCACTGCCGCCGTGCGCTTGGCACCAGTCTGGGGGGGGATACGTTATGCCCACTCCCGTCTTCCCCCCTCCCCCCTAAGGTCCGTTATGGCCGCCAGTAGAAAGATGCTCTCATATACATACATTTTCGGAAGCAGGGCTCTGCCTAAACGGCGTTTGTTCGCGATCACATGGGCCGTTTGCGTTTCGATGTCGTTTTGCAACAAGGGCGGGTTGAGCACTGCGAGGAAAACGAACACAGCACGAAAACGAACAACACGGTTTAGTTCGGTAGCAATCCAGGGGAGCCTTATATATTTTCATCATTCCATCTTTAGCGTCGATTAGCGTCGACTAGCGTCTGGGAGTCGATGAGATAGCGCCGAATTGGCGTCGGTTCGTATCGATTAGCGTCGATTAGCGTCGATTTGGCGTTGACTTAGCGTCGATTCGCAAGCGCGAACAGGAGTGTACGGGAGGCTCCCATGAGTTGCCACCGAAATTTAGGTCGATCCCTGTCCGGAGGTCTGCCTGGATTTCCTGTATCGGCGCCGGAGCCCCTTGGCGGCGTTTCAGGCGCCGCCCCTGGCGCGCCGCGCGCCACGGAGGGGGTCCAGCGCCAATCCAAGAAATTCGCCCAGACCTCCGAGCGCTTATGTTTGTGCAGTTTTTTCCTCTAGAAGGGTCTGTTCCCTGCGATGTCAATGGTCTTCTTTTGATGTGTGAAGGAGTGCCAGGCTGGGATTCAATTCCAAGATTGCTCGATTGCCACGCGCTTCGAGCGAAAGGTTAACTGGACGCACGCGCCTGCGCGGACGTCCTTGCGAACTGCACGATGGTCACGGTACATGTGGTTGTTTCCGAAGCAACCACCCACTGTGCGTTAATTCTGTACCCGTGATTTCGCCTGCGCGCAGTCGCCGTGCATGCCGCACCAGTTCCAGAATTTGTCATTGCATTTCTTGAGTTTGCGTGTGTTTGACTGGTTGGTCGTGTATCCTCGCTGCCTCGCGTCGGCAGGATGGCACCCTAGTGCTGGAGAAGTGCAGCCCACAGGATACCAGCTGGGCTTTTCTGGCCGCTCGGTTGGGGGTGGGGGAGTTTCGCTGGCTGATTCCAGGCTTCGAAGAAAGCTGCATAAGCATAAACTTTCAGAGCTAAAGGCGGATTTCCTGGATCGGCGCTGGCACCCCCCTGGGGGCGCCTCTGGCGCCGCCACTGGCGCGCTCCGCGCTCCAGGCAGGGGGGTCCATCGCAGATCCCAAAAAACAGTGCGGAGATCCGAAAGCTTTTGTCTATGCAGCTGTTTCTTCTCACGCGACCAAGTCAGCATCTATCCTTGACGTCCCGATTATATTTCAAGTCTTTCAGGCTCTTGCGAGATTCATTAAAGGAGCGTTGTGCTCCTCCACTTGCGAAGGCCTTCTTGTCGGTGTCGCCGACCCCGAAGGCGGGATCCCCTTCGGGACCCCCGCTGGCGCCCACCCCCTGGGCCCGCTGGGATCCCTGGGGGCCGGCTCCCCCCCCCCCCCGAGCCCCCTTCCCCTCCACGCTCTCTTCGGGTCGTCGAACTGATGGCTGCTCCCTGTGTGTTTCCACCCAGCCCGCCAAAAGCGGTGCGCAGGCGACATGGTGGGAAGGGGAAGCAGACGATCAGATGCTCAGGCAACGAGCGGCGCCCTTGAGCGGAGCCCCCCTCACGTGGTAAGCCTGGATGGGTTAGTGGAAGGCGATCGATGGAGAGGAGGCATGTTGCCAAGTACTTTCCAGATGTCTCAACACATGTTTCAAACATGTCTTGACAGTGCTGGAACATGTTTTAAACACGTGCCGGAAATTTTGCATGGGGAGTACATTTGACATACATATTCTAATCAACAATAGAAAGGTCAGAGTGTCCAATGTCATGGCATCCACAACTCTTAGGGGCCTCTTGGATCCAGGACCTCTCAGGGCCTCCTGGGCCTCGCAGCGCCGTTTTTTGAAGCGGTCTCGGGGAGTCTTGCAGTTGTCTCGGGGCAGTCCCGGGCCGTCTTGGAGCTCCCTGGACGTCAAAAAGTGCGCGGGGGAACGCTCCGAGGGGGGTGGGGGGGGCGGGGCGCTGGTCTGAGGCCGGCAGGTTGTCCCGTGGTCGATGGATTTGCCCGGGGAGTCGACGGGCACTTGCAGCAGATGTTTGATCAGAACTGTAAGACTGTAGGATTCCCAGATTGGGTCCGAGTAAATGGGGTCGGAGGATCGCGCCGCATCGCCGATGCATCGGCGATGCGGCTCGATGTGGAGCCCGATTGTCTCAACGCCGGACTCGCCGATGGATCGCCGATGCATCGCCGATGCATCGCCGATGCATCAACGATGCATCGCTGATGCATCGGCGATTGGGCGCGACCCTCCGACCCCATCCACTCGGACCCCATCTAGGAGGCCTCTGAGGACTGTTTCGCGCACGCGCGTGATTGTGGATGCCCCTCACATGGGCTTGTGGGCTCTGAGTGTGCAGGCCCAGTATGCGCAGGAGGTTGTGTGCTGCACTTCGTTTTTGCCCCATCCGTGCGTGACTATCATCAAGGCTGGTAAGAACATGCCACCTCCACCCACCCAAAAATTGTTGGCAACAGTCAATTTGGCGGTGACAGTGACGATGAGGACGACGATGACGATGATGTTAGCGACGACGATTGTGATGTTGACGAAGTTGATGGTGCTGACAATGACGGTGGCAATGATGACGCTGACGATGATGGTGATGATGATGATGGTGGTGATGATGATGATGGTGATTATGATAGTGATGATGATGGTGATGACGTTGAGGATGAGGATTAGGATGAAGATGATGCTGATGCTTCTGCTGATGCTGATGCTGATGAATATGGTGATGTTGATGATGCTGATGCTGATGATGATGATGATGATGATGATGATGAGGATGATGATGATGATGGTGATGACGACAGTGCTGGCGAGGATGATGAGGAAGTGCTCGCGCAGGAATTTGACGAGGGCGATGCCATCGACGATGACGATGACGGCGGCGGTGATGATCACCACGACGATGGTGACACTGATGACGATGGCGAGGGCAACGATGACGCCGATAGTGATGATAACGATTGTGCTGGTGAGGATGATGCGGACGCGCTCTTTTCTGGAAGCTCTTAATTGCGGTCGTATGTCTATTGCAGTGCCGGGGCGCGCGATTATGTTTGAACGTGTTCGACATGAGCGCGCGTGTGACCCGCACCGTCGTGCGATTTCAGAAAGCGCACGCGCGCGCAGAAATCAAGTTTTTTTGTGCTGGCAAACCAGTCGTCGTCATCGTCGGTCCATCGCGAAGTCTTGGAGTGCTGAGAGCACCTATAGTTGTGGACTGAAGAGGATGATGATGAGGAGGAGGAGAAGGAGGAGGAGGAGGATCTAGTACAGCCCGGTGGTGGCAGGCGAGGCCCCCACGGGTGGGCACCGGGCGACAAGCTGGAGCACCCTCCCATCATAGGGGCAGCCACGAGGCTCCCACAGGTGGTCACCTTTGGGCGAGATCGCGAGATTCTCGCGATCTCGCCTCAGAATCACTGAAGAGCTGAGGGACATCCTTTGCCTCTTCTTGGGGTTCCTCTGGGGGGCCCTCTTGGAGCCATCTTGTGGCGTCTTGGGGGTCTCGTGAGCCGACTTGAGGCAATCCTGGGTGTTCTGGAGTGAGGCCTTGTGCTGGGACCAGCTCCGAGCAATCTGAGAACGCATCTTGGGCATCCGAGAGGCGGGTGGATTTGGAGGCTCCGAGGACCCTGGAGGTCCGTCGAGTAGACAGGTGGACTCTTCTTGCTCGGCAAGCGGCATCGGTGGATGGTGTTTGCCCCGATTCTTGGCCCTTTGATGCTGCACCGTCGTTCTGGTACACCTTGCGACACGGGCACGGTCTGTGCTTCCTAAATGGTGTCCGAGTAGATGGGGTTGGAGGGTAGCGCCGCATCCCCAATGCATCGGTGATGTCTCGCGATGTGGAGCAACATTTTCTTTTCTCAACGCCGACGGCGCCGATGCAGCGCCGGCGTCGCCGATGCATTGCCGATGCAACGCAGCTGCACCGGCGATGCGGTACTCGACCCCATGTTGGAGGCCTCTAATTTAGAGGAGCACGAGGACACGGGTTGCATAAACGGAGGCTTCCAGACACTGTTGGAAATCCTGGAGCGTATCCTGAGCCGATCCTATTATGCCATCATTGTCTTCCCCTTCGTCTTCGCAGTGCCCATGTGTTCGAGTGGGACGCTTGTGGGTCAACCCTCCGGGTTGCAGAAACACTCGACAGCTCCTGGTGGAGGTGCAGGGTGCCCCTGCGTTTTTCGTTGCAGAGCAGAGTTTGTTGGATCTAGTACGAATCTGCTGAGCTATGTGAGGACATCAGGAGTCGTACTTCCGGGGCCCCGCGCGGATGTCTGAGATCGGCGCTGGGCCCCCTTGGCAGCGCCTCCCGCGCTCCGCGCGTCAGCGCGGGGGGGGCCCAGCGCCTATTCAAGAAGTCAGCGCGGAGCTCCGCAAGGTAATGGCTATGCAGTGTTCTCCAGCCAGTGTTTGCACTTAGGGGTTCTTATTTCTTGTTGAAGGAACTGAGCTGCTGTGGTGGTTTGTCGTCTATGTTGCCACCGTAACCACCCCGCTGCCGCCTCGTCGCCGCCCGTCGTCTGGGCCAGTGTGGAGGTCTGGCGGCTATGTTGCCGCCGTAACCGTCCCGTCGCAGCCTTGTCGCCGCCCGTCGTCTGGGCTGGTGTGGCGGTCTGGCGGCTAAATGCCCCCCTTGCCACCTTGTCGCCGCCCGTCGTCTCGTCTGGTGTGGCGGTCTGGGGGCTATGTTGCCGCCGTAACCGTCCCGTCGCAGCCTCGTCGCCGCCTTTCGTCTGCGCCGGTGTGGCGGTCTGGCGGCCATGTTGCCGCCGTAACCGCCCCGTCGCCGCCTCGTCGCCACCCGTTGTTTGGGCCGGTGTGGAGGCCTGGCGGCTATGTTGCCGACGTCGCCGCCGCGTCGCCGCCTCAACGCCTCCGTCGTCAGGGGTAGTGTGGCGGTCTGGCGGCTATGTTGCCGCCGTCGCCGCTCCGATATATATATATATATATACATATATATACATATATGTATATATATATATATACATTTATATATATACACACATACATAACGGGGACCGGGTCCGTGGGCTGGGGGCCGGGGCCCCGACAACAAATGTGGGGCCCGGCGCGACGGGAGCCTTGCCGGAGCGCCAGGGGGCCATCCAAGATCGCCCGAAGATGGCTTCGGAACGCTCGAAAACGCGTTCCGATGGCTCCGGATGCCTTTCAAGACGACTCCCATGACGCCAAGCATGCCCCCGAAGGCCCCGAAGACGCCCCAAGAGGCACCCCGACAGAGCCCCAATAAGCAAAATCGTCGACTTCTCATATGGAAACTGATGTTTTTGGCGTGCTCGCCTTTTTGGCTTCCACTGCGTCCAAGACGGCCCAAGAGGCGCCCAAGCCAGTCGAGAATGACCCCACGAGGGGGCCAAGACGGCCCACGAGGGGGCCAGGACGGCCCCCGAGGCGCCCAAACCGCTCAAGAACGCCTCAAGTCGGCGCCCAAGACGGGGACGAGGAACCGAAGATTCGACCGTTTTGGCCCAAGAGGCCCCCAGGAGAGCCCAAGAGGCTCCAAGAAGCGCCCAAGAAGTTTCAAGAGGCCCCCAAGAGACCAGAAAAACACCAAAAGAGGCCCCGAAAGAGCCCCCAAATGGGCCCCCCAAAACGTCCCAAGAGAGCCCCAGGGCGCGCCCAAGAGGGTCGACCAGAGAGCTGGTCCGACTTTCCACACTCTACACAGGGTCCGTCCCCGGCGGTGCCTCAAGCAGGTGTTGCCACTGGAGTCCTCACTTGCCTGAGCCAAACTCCAAACATGTTTTCGCACAGCGATTCCTGTGTCTGTGACACGCTCGAAATTAAGCGCGCGCGGCGAAGCGCGCGCGTGGTTCTAGTAAACATAGTTTCACACATATATATATATATCTATGTACACATAGATCTGTGACTATGTATATACCGATTGAACCAGGCAGAGTGCACAACATAGCTTGCACATCATGTATGTATGTATATATATATATATGCGAATACATATATACACAAATTCACATATATATATAGATCGATCGAACCAGGTAGAGTGCACAGCATAGACTGTGCCACATAGATTGCACCACATATAGTGCACTACGCAGATAGCGCCACACATATATAGATTGCACAGTATATATTGCACCACGTACGTTGCATCACCTATGTTGCTTCACGTTTTCTGCACATGATAGATTGCAGCACGTATGCTGTACCACATATCGTGCACACCATGTGCTACACCGTATAGATCGCACCACATCTACTGCACCACATCTATTGTATATCATCGCATGATCCGCCTATATTGGTCCACATAGATATGGCAACACGTGGATTGCATAATGCAGATTCCCGCACATAACTTGCATCGCATTAAGTGCACCACATCGAATGCACCACACGGGTTGCACAACGCATACTGCATCACACGCACTGCACTACGTATATTGCTTCGCGTATATTGCACAGCTTGGATTGCACCACACAGACTGCACCACCTTGGTTGTACAGCATTCATTCCACACCACACTACACACATATATATATATATACATGCATCTACACATACCTATCAATCGCACACTATATGTTGCACTGCGTCATCGACTGACCAGTTATATTGCTCCACATATGTTGCGCAAGATATGGTGCAGCAAACATAGAGCTCCACATATAGTGCATCACATTCAAATTGTTCTAAACGGGTGTCAGGATCTACCCCCCAGCACTTAACGGGTCACCTTTTTCGTATTGCAATTTAGAGATGATTTTGCCTGGTAATCCATCCTAAAATTGAAATCGCATCGTCCCAGCCAAGCCGGTACCGATTCCCCCTTTCATCCTCCGCAACACATGCTATTTGCGCGCACTCGTTTCTCAAATACCACCCGCTTTCAAGACTCTCTTGCAACATATGTGACGCGCAGGCGCGCGTCGTCGCGCGCGCATGCCGAAGTCTATCAAAACCATAGGTGTCGCAAGGTTTCTAAACACGAGTGCCACGAAACATGTAAACAACACATGGTTTCGCAACAAGGATGTGCTCGCGCTTTTGCAGATCCTTCTGAAAACCATCGATTTTCCACCAATGCATGAAATTCTATTACGGATTTCTCGCGCGCGCACGTCGAAATCTGAGAATCCTTTGCAGCAAATGGAACGAAGTGCACGCGCGCGCGACGACGCGCGCGCATGACCAAATCTTTCAAACACCCTGGTTTTCGAATGGATTTCGAAAACGAGTGTCCTGAAAACATTGAAAACAACACATGGTTTTGCAACACCAGTGTTCCCAAATAGTTTGCGCGCGCGCTCTTCTGAGTTCTTTCATCAACTTCTGCCAAACGGGCCCCGCGCCGCGTGTCGAACTCATCTGAACGCCCTTGCGCGCCTGGGGGGGGGGCACGATCCGTGGCAAATCATACCACGCGAGCCTCTCGCGCGTGTCGGCCGCGCGCGCGTGTCGGCAGAGCGCGCATGTCGAATTGTTTCCAAAACTGTCATCACCGACGCGAGGACATCGTCAGATCGGCGGGCGTGATCAACATCGGCGCCGTCATTTGTCTTGCCGTTGTCATCGCCACCATCGTCACCAACATCGCTACTGCCATTATCGTGCCTACCGTTGCCGGCGTCGCCATGATACCGCTCCCGCCCAAGTCATCGACTCGCACTGAAGCGCCCGCTGGGAAGGGCCCCGGGTCAGCGCCACCGCGGCCGCGTCGGTCACGTTTCAGTAGCTGTCAGCTGCGCGCGCGAGCATGTGGGGGTTAGCGCGGCCGCAGAGATGCACCATCCAACGCCAAACATTTACCGCAATCGCCGTCGCATGGGTCCTGCAAACAATTTGCGGGCGGGTGGGTTGCATGATTGCGCGAGCAGTGGAGTCGACAACTCACTGTGAGTATTGATGATTTGTACCACATATACTGCACCACGTAGATTGTTAGGAACAAAACGCATCTTTGTTTATTTCCAACCATGATCTCGCATTCGTCCTATGTCATCCTGACATGCTGTAGTCTTGATCGCGATCCGGATTCTTGAGCACCAAGAATGTACAGATATCCGAGGGCCATGAAAGGCGACATCCCTGTGACAATCTTCACGTGTCGGGGCCTGGGACGCGATATTCGTCCGACATATCGCCAGCGCTGCGGGCACTCGTTGCCTCGATATCTTCCAGGCTGTTCGCAATTATGGTGTGGGATGTGGTAAGTCGATGGAAAAGACATACAGTCAAGTCGCATAGTAAGGATCAGATCTTTTCAAAAGCCACCCTTGCATCCATGCCCGTTCGGCCCATCCTTGGCCACTTTCGCTGGCCGCGCCCCGCTCGAAAAACGTCTACGCGGCCCTTCACGGCCAGTGCATCCTTACCGCGCATCCTTATTTTGCGCCTCGATTGTAATCCTCGTCCTGTCACTGCTCGGACGGTCTGCACAAGGGGAATGACTGGACAGCCCCTCGTCAGTATCGCTTAGCCGACCCCCATCCCCATTACCATCCAGGCCCCCATTCTCTCACCACCTCAGTTGGCGATATACCCATTGAAACCCGAAGGGAACAGCCTATATCCCCATCTACCGTAAGCGCGCTAACGGCGATGTAGGTAACGGCGATGTCGGTTTCGGTATTGTAGGTGGAGGTGGTTCGTGGCCAACCCACATGTAGGACAGCGTTGCTCTTGTTTTCCCATCGCACGCTCTGCGCGAGTTCGGCGCCGCAAGAACCATATTCCCAGCATCGACGTCAACCATCATCGCCGTCAGCGTTGACGCTTTTTGATTTCGGTGCTTGCATGGTCAGCGCGACTTCAATACTTGCATGTGGTATTCGGCCCAGACGCAGGCGTGTCCGACAACTGGCAGTACCCTCACAGCACTGAAGGGCGCGTTTTCTGACAGGTGCCCGAACTATCAAGAGCTTCGATTTCGAGTAGCGTTCCGTTTTTTTGTTGACGAGGTTTACAGGGGGCTAGATTTGGCCAGGGATAGAGGGCCGGTTTCACGATGCCCGCCTCCCCGGCGGCCCGCGGCAGCCCGGCGGCGGGCTCCTGGCCGGACCCCACCCGGCGGCCTTCTGGCGGCCAACAACGGCGGCTCCCAGGGGCGCTTCCGGGAAGAGAGGCGCGATCCGCAGCCCGCGCCCGCCGCTCCGAGCCCTTTTTTGGTTGTTGCCTCTGCCACCCACCAAACCATCCATCAAGAATATTGCCTCTTCCACCCATCATGCCATCCATCAAGCAGAACGCCACCAGCATGAACTTTTTGGCGCTCCGCGCGGACTTCTTGGATCTGCGCTGGGACCCCTGGCGGCGCCTCCTGCGCCGCCCCTGGCGCGCTCCGCGCGACAGGGAAGGGGGTCCGAACGCCAGGGAGGGCGCTCCGCGCGGAGCGCGCCATCGGCGGCGCCGGAGGCGCCGCCAGGGGGGTCCCAGCGCGGACCCAAGAAATTTGCTCGGAGCGCCACAAGATTATGTTCATGTCGTTAGTGACCTGAAACGTATAGTGGACATCATCAAGAGTAGGTTCACGAGCGTGCGACGTTCACCACGACGGTCCGTGCGAAGGCCCATATACTTGTGGAGGACGATCACTGGAGAGGAAGCATGTTGCCAAATAATTTCCAGATGTCTAAAGCACGTGTTAAAATTGTTGTAAAGATGTGAAACCAAAACATGTTTAAACATTTCCATGACACTTTCCGACAGATTAAACACGTGTTTAATTCGATGATAGGACTGTTAGGGTGTCCATGGTCGTGGCATCCACAACCACATACCTCAGTGTATATATACATATATATGTATACATTATATATACATATGTCTATATAGGTCCCAGAACCCACCATGAACCCCTTTTGCTCTTGGAATATACAAGAAGAAAGAAGGGTGTGTGGGTCTTTGCGTTGGTGTGTGTGGGTGTAGGAGAGTGAGGTGTGTGTGAGCGTAAGAGCCAGAGAGAGAGAGAGAGAGTACGCTGGCAACATTGTGGAGACGGGGGGTAAGGAAAGGAAGGAAGAGCCTGTGGAGTATCGGGTGTTGTGTTGGAGACGGAGGTCGAGGAGTAGCTTGTTCAGTACCGCGTGGTGTGTTGGAGACGCAGGGAGTGGAGTAGACGGAGGTTGTGGAGTAGACGGAGGTTGTGGAGTATAATGGGATTTTCAAGTTCAGCTTGGGGAGGGAGCCTGTTGAGTACCGCGTGGTGTGTTGGAGACGGAGGGAGTGGAGTAGACGGAGGGTGTGGAGTATACAGAGGGTGTGGAGTAGAATGGGATTTTCAAGTTCAGCTTGGGGAGGGAGCCTGTTGAGTACCTGGTGGTGTGTTGGAGACGGAGGGAGTGGAGTAGACGGAGGGTGTGGAGTAGACGGAGGTTGTGGAGTAGAATGGGATTTTCAAGTTCAGATTGTGGAGGGAGCCTGTTGAGTACCTGGTGGTGTGTTGGAGACGGAAGGAGTGGAGTAGACGGAGGGTGTGGAGTAGACGGAGGGTGTGGAGTAGAATGTGATTTTCAAGTTCAGCTTTGGGAGGGAGCCTGTTGAGTACCGGGTGGTGTGTTGGAGACGGAGGGAGCGGAGTAGACGGAGGGTGTTGATGATGCGATGATGATGCGATGATGATGATGTTGATGTTGTTGTTGATGTTGATGCTGATGATGAGGATGATGATGATGATTACCCAAGATGATGATGATGATGATGATGATGATGATGATGATGATGATGATGAGGATGATGATGATGATGATGACGATAATGATGATGATGGTGCTGACGATGGTGATGATGTAAATGAGGCGTAGAAGTGGCTTGGGGGGGACCTCCTTGGAGGGTCCCGCCGGGGCACTCCTACAATGCAGAGAAACTAATAGTAATTCATATCGTTTTCGAGAAATGGGGGGTTCATCGTGGGTCCAGCGGGCTACATTTATATATATATATATATATATATATATGTATATATATACATATATATATGTATATATATATACATATGCGTGCGGCTCCCATCTATGCCTCCTTGGCCAAGCCAGCGGGGTGTCCACACCGCTCCCGGGCCCAGGACGGGCCTGGCCAGGGCCGTTGGATGTGTGCAGCTCTCGCCGCCCTGTGGTGGTGGTGGTGCTATTGCAAATGCTCAGTCGTCGCAGCACCAGAGGCAGTCACGTTTACCGAAGGCGCCCGCGGCGAACCACCGGCACGCGCAGGGATCCAGTAACCAAATTGGCCACTTCGTTGGGGGCACCCAATGGCCACTCTCAATCTAGTGGCCAATATGGTAGCCAAGCTGGCCAAACTGAGATGTCTTGGAATCAATCGCTCTCAGAAGTCTTCGGGACCGCCCTGCATAGATCGGCAAGATGTCTCTAACACGCCCTGCTTCCGCCCAAGATGGCGATGTCGCTACGGACATCCAGACGCACACGAGCTGTTGTCGACACCGTTCTTTTCCAGCACCGCGATGTCGTTAGGCTATCTTTTCGTCTCGCCACTTCCTCTGCTCCCCTCTCCCTGCCGCTGCTGCCCATCTCCCCCCTCATGTCCTCCTCCTCCTTTTCCCCCTCCCCCTCCCCCTCGCCTCATTTCGTCGTGTTGTGTGCTTGCAGTGTGAGTTCATGCCAAGGTTCAGGCCAAGGTTCACTGCAGGAGTTTGCCTATCGCAGGCTGGTTCGCGAGAGGTTCTTCGTTTGCCCGGCGACATTTTGATTCGCATAACAGAGAGCGGAGCTGACCTGCTCATGGCTGAACAAAATTGCGATTTCGCCAGGGGCAGCCACGCACACATGCGATGTTGTCGGCGTCGGCTGGGTCTCGGTCTTGCCCCAGATGGCGATTCCTCTTTGCACACCCTCCACAAAGTATTTCCGACATTGTCTTGGGATCCCCTGCTGGGGCGAAGGTCCCCCCAGTGGGGGAAGGTTCGCCGGGTGTGGGTGAGCGGGTGAAGGTCCAGCGACTGCAAAGGGTACGGTTACGATCGCCTGGTCGGGATTGCCTTTCTTTTCCAGTGGAGTCCGCGATGGGGCTCTCGGCCCGTTATTCCGGGCAGTTTTTCCAAGATGTGCGTGTGTGTACACATCTATATATAATTATGTATGTATTTGTGTATGTGTATCCCTAATTCCTTAAGCAATGCTTGCAAGCAGGGGTTCTTCAAGCAGTGTTTGCACTTAGGGGTTCTTTGTTCTGTTCTGCGGAACTGGGCCTGCCTGGCGGTCCGGCGGCTCCGTGTTCGCTGTCGCGCCCCGTCGCCGCCTCGTCGCCGCCCGTCGACTGGGCCTCATTCTCGGTCTGTCGGCGATGTTGTCGCCGTCGCCGCCCCGTCGCCGCCTCGTCGCCGCCCGTCGTCTCGGCCTTGCTGGCGGTCTGGCGGCCAAGTTGTCGCCGTCGCCGCCTCGTGGCCGCCCGTCGTCTGGGTCGGTCTGGACCTGTTTGGCGGCTCCGTGGTCGCCGTCGCCGCCCCGTCGCCGCCTCGTGGCCACCCGTCGCCTGGGCCTGTCTGGCGATATGGCGGCTATGTTGTCACCGTCGATGCCCCGTCGCCGCCTCGTTGCCGCCCGTCGTCTGGACCTGTCTGGCGGCCTGGCGTCTCCGTGGTCGCCGTCGCCGCCCCGTCGCCGCCTCGTCGCCGCCCGTCGTCTGGGCCTGGCTGGCAGTCTGGCGGTCGTGTTGTCGCCGTCGCTGCCCCGTCGCCGCCTCGTCGCCGCCCGTCTTTGGGCCGCCGCCCCGTCGCCGTCTCGTGGCCGCCCGTCGTCTGGAATTTACAGGGCACCACATCGCATAACATTTTTTAATCTTATATTATATTGCATTGCATCGTATTCTATCATATGGTATCATATTGTCGCATGTGGTTTACATTATATTAGCCGGTCTCCTACCACGTTATAAAACCATTATAAAACATTATACTTCAGTATGCCGTATACGACTTTCTGTATCATAGTATGCTACACCATAGTTTGGTATAGTCGAGTACATTGCACCATGATGTATTACATAATGGTGCGTTGTTTGTTACATCGTTGTCTTCGTATTGTGTTACAGTGGATTATAAGATCGCCTTTTCTGTTAAACATCGAATGTAATAACACACTCTTTAAACATCCGTTCTTGTAGATTACATCACGGGATTGCTCTTTGCTGTTTATAGAAGTTCACTTTTGTCCTATCTGGTATACCCGCGTATCATATTACAGTGTGCTTTGTTAAACCATAGTTTGTTTATGATGGTTTATTACATGGTACGTATTATCTTTTAGGGCATGCGAGTCGATTGCACGTTTTTTCCCAACCATCCTGTGGTGTTGGGTCCTCGTTTTGAAGAGACGGTGCCCGCGTCCTCTCCTCCTCTCCTCCTCCTCCCTCCTCCCCCTCCTTGCCTCTGCTCTCGGCACACCTCTCACGCGTTTCGTAGCCCCATAGGGAGCTCCACCGAAGGCCCCAGTGGGGGTGTCCACATGCGGTTCCCCCACCCAGGGCAGCGTTTCGTGGCCCCATAGGGAGCTCCACCGAAGGCCCCAGTGGGGGTGTCCACATGCGGTTCCCCCACCCAGGGCAGCGTTTCGTGGCCCCATAGGGAGCTCCACCGAAGGCCCCAGTGGGGGTGTCCACATGCGGTTCCCCCACCCAGGGCAGCGTTTCGTAGCCCCATAGGGAGCTCCACCGAAGGCCCCAGTGGGGGTGTCCACATGCGGTTCCCCCACCCAGGGCAGCGTTTCGTGGCCCCATAGGGAGCTCCACCGAAGGCCCCAGTGGGGGTGTCCACATGCGGTTCCCCCACCCAGGGCAGCGTTTCGTGGCCCCATAGGGAGCTCCACCGAAGGCCCCAGTGGGGGTGTCCACATGCGGTTCCCCCACCCAGGGCAGCGTTTCGTGGCCCCATAGGGAGCTCCACCGAAGGCCCCAGTGGGGGTGTCCACATGCGGTTCCCCCACCCAGGGCAGCGTTTCGTGCCCCATAGGGAGCTCCACCGAAGGCCCCAGTGGGGGTGTTGCGGTTCCCCCACCCAGGGCAGCGTTTCGTGCCCCATAGGGAGCTCCACCGAAGGCCCCAGTGGGGGTGTCCACATGCGGTTCCCCCACCCAGGGCAGCGTTTCGTGGCCCCATAGGGAGCTCCACCGA